CCTATGAGATAGGAATGATACAGATTTTAAGTTCCAGACAGCATCAACCATTTGCCTTGTCTAGTGTGTAAGATGTTAGGCTGCTAACTGAAAGGCTGATAGTTTGACACCAGTCTGTGGGAGAAAGATGAAGTAGTCTCCTCCATGACAGAACATTGTCTTGAGTTGGAAATAATTCAAGGGCAATGAAGATTTTTTTTATTCTAATAGAGTATCTGACATAAGTTGTTGTTGATGGCCTTCCAGTTGAGTACGTCTCATTGCAACCCTATGAACAAAAGGCCTGAAGCCCCTCTACAACTATTGATATTTATCAAAGGTCATAGGGTTTTCAGAGGCATGTTATTTAGGAAGTGGATGCCACTCCTGCTTCCAAACCTGTCATAGTATGTTATTGTTTTTATATGCCATTGAGTCACCTGCGATGTATAGTGACCCTATGTACAGCAGCTCTGAACCAACCCTTCCCTGTCCTGAGCCAGCCTCACTAACTCCCAACACACCAACACCATTGCCCCAGTTGTACCAATCCATCTCATCCTGGGTCTCACTCTCCTGCGCTGTCTGTCCATCCTTCCAAGCGCCCGATCTGTCCTGGCCAAGTGCCAAAGTAATTGAGGCAGAGTTTAAAACCCTAGCCTCCAAGGAAAGACTTGGTTTTTACCCTTTCCAAGACAAACTTATTTGTTTTCTTGGCAGTCCATGGTATGTTCAAGACTCCTCTCCAGCACCACAGTTCGAAGGCACTGATGCTTCTTCTGTCATCCTTACTCACTGTCCAACTCTCTAAAGCCTAACAATTGTGAAGACCTGGGTTAAGCACACCATACACATTAATAGCTATCATTCAGATAGGCCTTGTTTCCACAGATAAATTTGTTAAATGTTTTTCTCTGGTAAATCTATGGCCAAGTCATTTTTTTATAGGGCATATAAGCAGTTGTGTATAAAAATAAGCAATAAAAGCTAATGTTCTTAAAGGTATCTCCCTAATGTAAGACACCAGCACCTACAGTATTTGTCTACAGTTTGTTTCCTATTTTGTTCCTTTGTTCGGAAAAATTACATTCAATTTTCCTTCCAGACTACCTAGGTTTTAAAGAAATAGGAGCTAAATTAATAATCCTACTAAATCTGGAAAACTATTTAAAATAGACACACTTCACTTTGATGTGGAAGAAACCTCTGGATGATACTAAAACTGGTCTGTAATGATGCATTCATAAATCTTCACCTACTAAAATTGGACTTCCATAATCTAATGAACATCAGGCTATAGAAAGGATTTGGCTTCAGGCCCTCCTCAGTTTCGTACGTAAGGCTGTGTCATCTGGATAATTCAGGTTGTTGATGAGTCTTCCTCCAAGCCTGATGTCACATTCCTCTTCATAAAATCCAACCTCTTGAATGATCTGTTCTACAAACATTGAAAAGATATGGAGATAGGCCACATCCCTGATATGTTCATTTTCTGATGAAACCAGTGTTTCCTGTTCTGATGACTTCTTCCTGGTCCAAGTGTAGGTTTTGCATGAGCACAATCAAGTGTCTGGGATTCCCATTCTTCTCAAGGCAAGCTGCCAATTTGTTGGGGGGAAAAAAGTGTTCAGGAGGAGCCAACTGTAGAACAGACTATTAAATATTCATTGATGTGGAAGAAAATGAAAACAAGTCCTCAACAACCAAAAAAAAATATGATCTTGAGTATATCCAGTCTGAATTTAGAGACCATCCCAAGAATAGATTTGGTACACTGATCATTAATGATTAACGACCAGACGAGTTGTGGGATGACATCAAGAATGAAGAAAATACGAAGAGAAAAAAAAAGTCATTAGAAAGACATGATGGGCCTTCCCTCCAAATCTTTCACAGGGGAGGTCTGTCCTTTTGGGGATGTAAGTTTTTAATAAATCTATTATTACTATTTACCCTCAAGAAAAATGATATAGGATAGACCAAAATGGATGTCAGAAGAGCCTGAAACTTGCTCTCTAACGTAGATTAGATAAGCTAAAGCTAGGAATGACCAAGACAGACAAGTGAACAGAAGACCCCACTAAAAAATAAAAATCCTCAAACTCTGCTGTCCAGTTGGAACCCACTCACAGGTGAACCTCCAGTGGATTGGCAGAGACTATAAATCACATAGATTTCCAATCTTTCTCTTAACAGAACCACTGGTGGCTCTGAACCACCTGCCTTTGAAATGGGAGTGCAACTCCCAAATCACTAGGCCACAGAAGCTCTCGGAACACTTCAAAGGGTGGTTCAAGAAGACAACAAAAAGTAGTATAGTGAAATGTACAAAGAAAGAAATAGAAAGCCAAAATAAAAGAGAATGGTATTTCTCAATCTTATTCAAAGAACTGAAGAAAAAATTCAAACCTTATACTACAACAGTCAAAGATTCTATAGATGAAATACTGAGTGGCAAAGGAAGGATCAAAAGATGGAAGAAATGCATAGAATCACTGGATCAAAATGTAATGGTCAATTTCAACCACTTCATGAAGCAGGACATGATTAGGAAACAATGATAATGAAGAAGTTGAAGTTGCACTGGAGGCATTGGTAAAAAACCATAAACTGACAGAATATAAATAGAAATAGTTCAATAAATGGATACAATAGTGGAGGTGCTCACTTATCTGTTCCAACAGTAGATGGCTACTTTTCCGGCTAAAGAAATGATATATGTACATTCCAAAGAAAAGTGATCCAAAAGAATTTGGAAACTATCAAATAATTAGCATTACCTGTAAATTAAATGCTGACAAGAATTTGACAATAGTAAGACAACAATGACAGGGACCTGCCAGAAAATTCATACTAGATTCAGAAGAGGCTATCAAACAAGAAAGCAAGGAATATCAAGCTGATACCAACTATGCAGTGGACTGAACAGGTCATATCAAATTATGGAAAACATTTAAAATAATTCCAGGACACCTTAAATTGTTCTCATGCAGCACCCCCAGCCCAAAAAAAACAAACAACAACAAAAAAAAAAAACAGACCAGGAGATAGCAGTTTGCACATAACATTAAGGACACTGTGTGGTTTAAAATCAGGAAAAGTCCAAGCAGCTGAACTATTAGAGGAAAACAATATAAGGAGTATAGGAAGTAACATCCTGTGAAAAGTAGATGACACAACTTTGCTTTCTGAAAATGAAGTTAAAGCACTTACCAAAAATCAAAGCTTTTAGGATGGAATA